CCCTTTCCTTCATGCCATTTATACTTACTAATATCTAGCAAATATTCTAAGTTCAAAATTGGTGAAACAGAATGTCTAAAAGAGAACATTCAATGCAGTGGAAAGAGTGTTAGGTTAGAATCTTTTCTTGTTTCTGCCCAGTGTGACCTTGTGGATGGTCACATAGCCGCACAGACCAAGTTTTATTTCTTCATCTATAAAATGAAGTGGTAGAGAAAGACATTCTTTAAGAATCTGTCCAATTCTGTAAGTCTAGCATCATGGTCACAAATACATAGATGACAGAGACTCAGCAAACTTAGGAAAAAATGTTTATAATTTTCACAGTATGAAGTGGCTATACCTTGAATCTGGACAGAAAGTAAAATCTAACTTACTTGGTGGTATTTAGGAGAAATTGCCAATATTGTAGAAAATCTAGATCACTGTTATCAAACTTTAAAAGAAGGGCAGAAGAATCAGTTTTTCAAATGAAATCTAACATTGAATCCCAATGTCTAAAACAAATGAAAAGGTCAAAATTCTGACTGAAATGAAAGAGGGATGCCTGGAGTTCCATCTTCACACCTTTTGATACACATTTCTGGCAACACTGTTTGATGTCAGTCTAATTCCTACATCTAGACTTTTCTGTACTTTGAAATAGTGCTAAAATTCGATTATCAATTTCACTCAGATAAGAAAAATTAGAAAGCTGTCATGCAAAAGTAGTCAACAATTTAAAGCCAACCAACTAATTTTAGCTTAAGAAAATCTCGTATATTAGTCTAGTAATATATAGACCAAGATTATTATATTAGTGAAAATTTAGTCTTCCAAATGTTTTATTAGACAATAAATTCTGAGATATGAAAAGACATTAACATATAGCTTTTAAATTTTGCTTAGTAACTCAGTTTTTGTATTATTTTATCCTACAGTTCCACTTCAGAGGGATGATGCATGTTTCTGAAAGTCAAAGTAATTTGGTGAATTCCCTTTTTATAAATCACCAAAGGTAAATTTAGTAAAAAAAAATTAAATAATTTAAACGCAGATGGCCATTTCTGTGGTTAATAGTCATTACTCTCTTAGCTTAGAAGAGAATTGCTCTGCTTATAAAATCTACATTCTGTCCATTCTTATAATTGGAAATATTATTATTAAAATCATTAAGACACATTACAAGTAACCTGGATTATGGTTTTCATACATAAAATACCCCATGATCTTTTTATACTGTTCCAAAAATTCCAACATTCTTGTTAGTCTTTACTTATGATCACTAATGTTGAAAAGAGCATTGTTTTACTTTAATTAAGGTACTGCATTAACCTATAAGTAAGATCCATGTGACCAATTTGTTGAACTGCTATTGAATTTTAATGTCATATTTTGGTCAAACTTTTTAAAAGCTATGAGGACTTCTCCCACCCTTGTTTTAAATATCAACTGAAAAGTAAGGGCATCTATTTCTCACAGTGTTAAGGATAAACTCTAGGGCCTTAAGTGTGGTAGGTAAATGTTCTGCCACTGAACTACACCACTTGCCCTTAAGATTTTCTGTGACACTTCATCACAGGCAACAACAAAGCATACTTCTGTAATCACTAGTGATTTATGATCCTCTTTTGGCAAAATATACAGTTTGAATTGTGTAGGTACAAACAGATATGAAAGTGCTATTTTGTGGTGGATCTAACATATTTTCAGTTCCTGGTATCGCAAGCAATGAACTGCAAAGTATACACATGATGGTGGAAGACAAGTAGCTCTGTTTATGGAGGTCAGAAACAGAAATGAATGACCGAAAAGGAACACTGCATGCTGTGCAGATATATCACTCTTGGGTTCAAGTGTAAGAGTAGAAAAAGGGGGGGGGGTTGCATGTGCTTTGGTCTGGAGTCATACTAAATGCTCCTAAGATGGTGGCAGAGCTTGAGTGGATGGAAGGGCATAAATTCCTCATCCTATCTGTACTGTAAAATGGGTTATGATAAGGTATGTGCTTCACAAGAAGGCAAAACTCACCCCTTTCTTATAAAATGATATTCACTATCTTCTGGTCTACACTGCTGACACCAAACAGATCTGATCAACAGTTTGAAGATTCATCTTATAGAAAATGTGAAGACATAACAGGTGATATTCATGCACTGCTCTTATTTTGCTACTTACTATTAATAGGCAAAACAGCTTTAGTTTCATCTGTCAAAGTGATGTACTCTTGGTTTACCTTTCAGAAATGATCAAACTACAATAGTACTGAGAATTAAGTGATATACATCAATAGGCAAAAGTCAGATAATGTTGGATTTTATAAGTAGAGATTTTATAATATTTTAAATACTGTACTGACAGTATTTAAGAAAAACAGTGACACAACTTAAATTTTAATACGACCCATGTTTCTTCCAAAAGAGATTCTAAAGCAGAAAAAGTAAAAGTAGACACTAGTTAGATAATCATCGCGAAAGAACCTAGTGAGCAATGATGGGACACTAATAGTAGATGGATTTTGGATATTATCAGCTAAGGTATTCTGAGTACAATTAATCAAACATCCAACCTCAGGAAGCCTAGAGGCTTATTTCACAAGAAGCCTCATTCTACAGTTGGCTCAATGACATCATCAAAGGGTCCTGACTTCCAAATTTTCTTATCCTGACCTTCAACCTAGAAGGGTGGTTATTTGAATGCTTCCAGCAATTAAGATTAGATACTCTGTATTTACATCCAGAAGAATCTGACTTCACTTGGCTACGTTTATGAAGAACTCCTTTTTGCCAGATTTTCACTGGCCCTAAATTATTTCAATCTGTATCTCTTATCTAATCAGTTGCAGAAGATACATAGTCACCAGGATTGGCTTTAGATTACTGAGACCCAGCCCCTGCTGAGATGAAAATGGGGTTAGTGTTGGCTTGCTTTGAGTCACATGTCCTATATGAAAGACAGATACTTTAAGTGAGGTGGGAAAGAGACTTTGCTAGGAAAGAGGAAGGGAGAATAGATGCTGAATAGGTAAGAAGAGGCATCAACTACACTTGTCAGTGAAGTGGAGACAAGAGAATACAGAACTGAAAGGCAGCTTTTGCTTTCATTCTTTCTTATAAAAAGGTCTCAAATGTTTTCCAGTCTAACTCTCCAGTCGGTATCAAGTAGAAAAGGCAAGATATGGAAGACTGAAGAAAAGATGAGGCTTTTTTTTTGTTGTGGCTGAGAGAGGTCTCACTCTGTAATTCAGGCTGGCTTTGAACGAACTAGCCCAGTCTGGCACTGAATTCACAGTGATTCTCCTGCCTGTTTCCTCAGTGCTAGGATTACAGATGTGTGCCACCAAGCCCTGCACGATCAGAATTGAGGATAATCAAGGGTTCTGTTTTCACCAAATTAAGATTACCAAACAAACAAACAAACAAAAATGTATAATAACTATAGCACAAAGTCAGGGTAGTGTGGACACAAGACAAGATTCAGAAATGAGTACAACAGGAGATATTAAGGTGGCTGGAAAAGTCCCAGCATCACGTATGGGGGTAGACTGTGTTGGGCCAAAAGGATGAGATTTACTGCCCTCTCAACTTGGTCAGTGCAGTAAAAACAGATATGGTATCTGTTAAAAATACAGCACAGACCAAAACAAAAAACAGGACATGTTACTATCATATAATCTTCCAAAGTATTAACCAGAACATCAAGGAAAAAACACAGCATTTCATACATGTAACATTAACATGGCTACCTGTGCTCCCCTATACTTACAAAAGTATCAGTTATATGTATAGGGCTTTTATATTCTGCAAAGTTCTTTTGTGTCTCTTAATCTATTTGATCTTCTAGTGGTCTGTCAGGTAGGCAAAACATATTTATTCTTAGGAGGAGAATTTCTGCTCAACTTCCATTTTAAATTTGTTTGCAGCAGTGTTGCAGAAACTTTACATTTGAAATTATTCAACAATAGTGTTTACTTTTTAATATAGTTAAGTTTGAAAATATTCCTTCAAAACCTCAGTAAATCAATTCCATTCTAAGCTTATAAGAAAGAATTCTATACAACCCAAATTCTTTCCCTTAGTAATAGGTATGGCAACATAAATCACCTTGTAGAAACTTAATTGTATTAATCTATTTTGCAGTACATAGTACAAGTATTATGTATAGTAAAAGTTCTATGAATTTCCTGGTAAAGTATTTTGAGTCTACTTCTGTAATTCTAACAGAAGATACTACCTTAAAACTGTGATCAAACATCCAATTAATTTTAAGTACTAGTAATACTCTATAAACAATTAATATTGTTCTTAATGCCTCAGGAACTAAGTTACACTTTAAAAGATTAATATATACAAGGCCCATGCGTTAGGGAACAGAAGATGAACTCTAAGTAATGTATGAGGCCACAGCACCAGGGTGCTGCCATCCCACAGTGCAACCTCGCACTTGACTGTAAACATTCTTTTGCTCAATGCTGCAGAAATAGCACATTTGGATGTTTTGGGATCACTGGGTTCCGTGGGGTCTGCTGCTGGGTGCAAGGACTCAGGTGTGTGGGAGTCTGGAACCCTGGAGAGCTGCCTCACCCTAGGGATTCTTTGGCTATGAATGGACTGCTCTGGGGATGGGCTGGGTTTTTTGCAAAGGTTTTTAACAGCAGCACACAAAGTGTTTTAACTGTTCTTTTTTTCTTACTTTGTTAAGGAATTTTTTTACACAAAACAAATAAATAAATGAGCTGAAAAAAACACATGTTTTGAAGGGTCACTTTATAAATGTTAATAAGTGTTGCCTAAGCTATCAAAATACAGATTACATTAAGGTTTCATGTGATGAAAAAATAATATTTCATAAAATTGGACTAACATTTAATTTGTATGGTTTAAGAAAAGTACTGAATTGGACAGCCTAGATTTATGAACCTGAACCTCACTGAATGTTACTTTAACACAGAATTTAATGTGTCACTTCATTAAAGTTCTGGAAAATTATGAGTACAAAATTAGTACTTAACAAAACAAAAATTAGATCAAAACATTTATTTTTTTGTTTCAAAAATTCAAGCAAATAATGGAATAAACATTTTTAAAAGCATTCTATTCTGAGTTACTTGTCGTAGAATTTAGTACACTGTTCAAATGGAGGGGACTTTAACATTTCTTCTGGATGCTATGAAGTCTCCATCTTATAACCATGTTTCTCTAGTTCAGCTCTGTAATAAAACACAAAGAATAGTATCATTAGGGACTTACTGTAAGTCAATGAACTAAGCCTGGAACATCCACTTAAACTATTACTACATGGGTTTATTTTAGAAAATAAACATGTATACAAAGAAAACTGTATGTGAATCAATACTTTTATCTTCCTTAATTTTCTTATTAACCTACTTATGGAAGAAACTTGGGGAACTTAAACTATCCTCCAAATACTTCTTAAACATTATATAAGTATTCTGTTCTTAATAAATATTTAAATGCAAAGTTTTATTTACTTTTGCTTTGGTGTGCTGGGGACTGAATTCAAGGCTTCATACAGGCCTAGCAAGTAGTCTATCAGTTCCACCCTCAGCCATTAGACATAAATTTTAAGAGTCATTAATCTTAGTGGTAAGCACACATCAATGTCAGATCTTTAAAGATTTTATAATCATAACAAGTATTACAGTTATACACACAGGAAGAATAAACAGATTGCTTTCCATACTGACATACATCTATTGTTCTAACCAAGAAAAAAATCTCAGTCAAATTGAAGAGTCTGTGAGAATTTTTGCATTAACCATGTATGTACTCAAAATAAATAGAATAAATGTCATAAAATAGTAAATAAAATTTCACATCCCTAATTTCAAATGTGGATGAAAGTATAAAAAACTTATATGCAAATATGCTTGAAAAGATACAGTATAATTTAAAGTAACTTCGCCAGGCTAAAGTTTCAAATGTACTTTTGAGAATGTCAACTTCAGTTGTTGATCTGCTTTGCGTAAGACATTTATATAAGAAAGTTTAACCCTATAATTAACTTGAACTATTTTAAATGACCATTTCTACCTCCATTCAGATTTTATAACAGTCTGTGAGAAAACAGAAGAAAGTCTACAACAATATTGTATAAAAGTACAGTATGATTAATAAGCTCTGTACATTATATCCAGGAAAATAAAGACATCTGTTCTCAAGTACAATTTGGCATAGATACTACTGTACCATTCAATGTAATTATGATGCAAAAATCAAGCAGTGGGAATGATGTATAGTATTTATTATTCATTTCTTCAAACTGTTTCATTTTAATATTTTAGCTTTTTATAATTGAAATACTGACCTAATTTCCATGAGTTTTATCAAAGACACACTATCTGTTCTCTTCTGTTTGAATGAAACGCTCAGAGTGGGCTGGTGGTATAAACAGCCACCAGCTGCTGACTGGTGACTCTAGTCTTTTTCTTTCTTTAAACCTAAATTTAAATTGCTTCATTTGGGCTCTTTCCCCTCTCTTTAGAAAACTGAAAACTTTAATGTTTGTCTTTCATATATACCAACTTATCTCCTTCATTTTGGGAGAATTTATATACATGTAATGTATTAAAATAAGAAATAAAGCTGAAGGGAAAGGTAATGGCTTCTATTTTTGTTGATCACAGAAAGCTCCTCAAATGTTTCCTAGAAAAACTACTGTTATCAAATTTCTGGGAATTTGGTAATTTTCTTTGAATTTCACTTTATATTAAAAGTTTATAATTTTTCTATTTAAAATGAAAATAACTGTAAAACTTTCTTAAACGTTAGTATTCTACTCCCTTTTATACAATCACTATAGCTAATTCATTTTCTACTTTTAATAACAGTAAAAACAACAACAACAACAACAACATAACCCACTAGAGTTCATTCTAAGACCAAATTTATCCTCCAGGTACCTTCCTGATGGAAGGCGGTCACTAAGTACATTTATAAATGTTGAACATAAAGGAGATGAAGTGCTGTCAACTAGATTCTCAGAGAAAATGAAAAGTTCTTTGCTAGAAAGTAAAAGCATATTAAACCAAAAGAAAAATAAACGAATGAATAAAAAAATCCAAAAAAGACAAGTGGAAAGAGATCTGGTATACCTGGAACAGTATTATAGAAACAGACAGTGACTCTAGATGATTTGAAATAAAAGCAACAGTATTGCTTTTGCAAACAAAACAAGTAAAGCACTAGTAGTAACAAGTAGCTTTTCAACTTTATTACTGTTACTGTATCTGATATGGTAAATCATAAAACATACTGGCTTCTTGGAGTTTTTATGTAAGATGCAGTGTTGGGAAAAGCAAGTAGTTTTCTATCCTATATAGAGAAACAAATGCTACTAGGTCAGCACAACAAGAAAATAGAATGACTCTTAGTTACTGAGAGATACAGATGGCCATTGCTATATTTCTATTTGTTCAAGATCATTACATTTAATGAGACAAAAAGAAAATGATAAGTGGGCAGCCTCCTAGGTTAAGAATTTCTGTTTAACATAAACCTTAGTAAGGGCCACCACACATTCTACAAAGATCAGGACAAACGGAAACTTGTTAATCAATACCAGTTATTTGAAGGACTGTTTGAGAGGTTGTACTGTTCAGTATGGTAGTTACATGTGATTGTGTGTGGGTACACAGAGGTTCTGCACTGAGCTATATCTTCAATTCTTTATTTTTTGAGGGAAGGGTTTAAATCACTCATGCTCAGGCTGAACTTACTCCTGCCTCAGTTCTCAAGAGTGCTGAGATTGCAGGCATGCACCCTCCATACCCACTTTTCAATGTGGCTATTTAAGTTTTGGAAATTCTGGCTCTTCATCTGCTTTAGCCACATTTCATGTACTCAAGTTCTGTTTGACTGTACTAATGATAATATCAACAGCCTTAGATAAAAAGCATGGCTTAAGTAGAGAAATAAAAATCAGACATTTTATCACTAATGGATATATTACAGTTCATACATGTATGAAAATCCAGGGGCCCAAAGATAGGAACACAACAGAGAAAAAAAGAGCACTTACAAGAGTATTATTAAAGCAGATAAAAAGAATATGGTATGTAGATAATGCTCTATTTTTAAGGCAGTAAAAAGGCAAGAAGTAGTACTGGTAAGAAACCAATTATTGATAATTTACTATGACAATAGCTATGATAAAAATCATAATATCAATAATCTCTTGAATAATTTTTAAGAGAAAGGTGCTATCATAATGAAGGAAATAACAAAAAAAATCCTCTGGAGAAATGTGACTCTCTTTTGAATGGCAAAGGAAGAAAATCTCATGAACCTTAATTTTTAAAATTTCAAGAATGTATCAGAAAAGGGAAAAACTGATCCATGATTAAAAATATGGAATAGGACTTAACAGCACTGGAAGGCCTGGCAACTTATAGCATATTATGATTCCAATGAAGAAGAAAAAGGAGATGCCTATTTTACAAAAAAGGTGGCAGGGTGTTCTCTGATGTTGCCCAGTTTTAAAAAAAAAAACACGATGCAAAAACAAAGTGAATAAACTTCATATAGAATTAACTTGATCCTAGAATAAACTGAGATCCATAAAAAGACCTCTTTAAGAGCTGTAGTTTGATGAAAGAGCATGACAAAGATGGGTTCAATGCTCGGCGTAGGTAGTGTAACATTACAGATTTTAGAAAAAAAGCAGAATTACATTTCAACAGCTCTTTCTTCTTCTATATAAAACTTTAAAAGAAAATACATCAAAAAGACAGATTAAAAACTGAGGTGAGGTTAACTCCAAACTGTACTAAAGTAGCTTGAAGTTTCAAGCTCTTGAAAAAATTACATGTCAAGGAAGAATTAATCAAAGGATAAAATAAAAAACCCGAATTAACAAACTTTAAGAATACCAGGAAACCGTAAAGGTATCAGAATAATAGTGCAAAGTAAATTGTACTGCTTGTAAAATGAGCATAAAGGAGGGGGGTAAAATTATCAGTCTCCAGCAAAATTCTAAAGTCTTTAGAATGTAGGTGTTTTTTAAAAAATGTAGTACATAACAGATACTACTGTATCACTATTAAAATTAAATGTTAAAACTTCATTATAAATTATTTCACTTCCCTTTTGAACAATCGATCTTCTATAACTTGATTTGAGGAAAGCATATAGCAGTCTCTTACATATCCCTATAGTCAAGGCAGATAAATATGGGTTGAACTGTAATAAAGTGAGGAGGGGCAAAACTATCTATTGAACAAATGGTGCCAGGACAACTGGTTAGCCACATGGAAAATACTGAGTTAGACCTTTATCAAATATCACTTACAAAAATTAACTCAAAATACACTGAAATTCTAATTTTAAGAAAATAAAATTTACAAGAAAACACAGAAATAAATCTTGCTTATATCAAATTCAGTAATGAATTATGAAATATAACACCAAAAGCACAAGCATAGAAAACAAAGAAACCAGGCTTTTTTTAAAATTAAAACTTTTGCACCAAGGACAGTAACATGAAAAGATAACAGAAGAAAATATTTGCAAATCACCTATCTGACGAAGTTTTAGTGTCAAAAATGTGTGTAGCCATCTCACAATTCAACAACAAAAAAACCCACTATTTTTAAATAAGACAAAGTCTTAAATAAATATTTCTCCAAAGAAGGCATGCAAATGATCAAGTGCACATGCAAAAATTAGCCAACAGGGAGATTAAAAAACAGAGATATCATTTCATATCCTTCTACTCATGGCTATAACTTTTTAAAAAACATTTTGATAAGTAAGTTCATTTTGATAAATAAGTTCAGAACCTTTATACATTGTTGGCATAAATGTAAAATTCTTCTGCCACTGTACAAAAGTTTTAGCAGTTCTTCAAAAAGTTAAACCTAGAATTACCATTAAACCCAGAAATTCTACTTTTGATAAATACAATATGGCATATTCATACAATGGACTAATACTAAGCCATAAAAAGAATACTGATCACAGGCTACCACACAGATGGACTTTGAAAACATTATACTAAATCAAAGAAATTGGACATATATTATGATTCCTTCGATCTAAAAAGTCCAAAACAGGCAAATCCAGAGAGAAAATATATTAGTACTTGGTAGGGGAAGGTGACTTCATATGGCTGTCACTGCTTAATGAGGACAGTATTTTCTTTTGGGATGCTGAAATTAAACTGAAAATTAAATTAAACTGAAATTAAATGCAGAGATGGCTACATAATATTGTGAATGTACTAAACATCATGGATTTGTCTTCTTAAAAGGATTAACTTTATGTTATATGAATTTCACCTCAAAAAATAAAATTAGGTAGATTTCCATATGAATATTTATACCCTGACAATCTAATCTATACTTCACTCTGAGAATCACCAATCTTTTGGGTTCCCCCATATTCTATCATTCAATACTGGTAGAAAATTAACACTGACAAATTCAAACTAATAAAAATTTAAAATAAAAACAGCGAATATGCTTCTATTTAACTACCTTTGTCAAAAGATCAGAAAGAGAGTTGTATGCAATTATATAAAGTATTCATGTTTAGAAATTCAGATGAAGGTAGTATCCTGCTTTACATAATACAAACATTAAGTACCTTTTAAGACAACAATTATTTATGTAAGTTAAATATTCCAAACTTAGAATGAGCTATAATAAAAATCTGGCTTTAAGTTTACCGTAACTGATTGGAGAAGTCGTCCTCTACATTGTCATCATCCCAGTTATCTTCCCAGACATGGGCATCTTCGTCTTCATCCAAACCAGCCCAGTCTAAAAAAAGAGAGGTGTCTAAGTACATCTCATACACTCTTTCTACAAACATAAAAACTTCAGAAGTAGAAAATAATGGACACTTTCACAATTCAAACACTGCTAATGCAGATCCATGTGATACACACACACAGTATAGTTAAGATAGTTACACTAATTTAGTTCATTGAAAAGCAAGATTTGTGCTAACATTGCTTAGAAAGTTAAATGCCTATATCTTGTACCCCAAGTAACTAATTTAAAGATAACAATATGCAATGTGTTAACCATTTTTATCCTACTACACTGTTTTGAATTTTTTTTCTCTTTAAAGTAAAAAAAGAAAATACATATATAAACTAGTATCTTGAGGCATTTGAGTTCTGGCATAAGGAATATTTGTTGAGAAGGTACACCAAGAGTAGTAGGTATACAACTAGAAAGGAACTATGTATATCAACTGGTTTTCCTACAATCACATCTTTAGTTATTATTTCTATTTAAATCAATGGGCATAATAAAGTGAAAGATACACTGACTCCGTGCACACATGTTTTCCCATGTGCTCTTAAATACTAATTCTTTATAACTGAATTCTTTATAACTGGAATGTCTGAAGCAGGAATGTATCCATGGTCCCCACCTCCTTCAGAACCTGAGTGATTTACTTTAGCAGAACATCCGTCTCCCTTACACTTTAGAATTCTACATACAACTGCTTACTGGGTCCAAATTCAATACCATCAGAACAGTTCACTATCTTCAGTGACTCTCAACTCTCAAGCAGTATGATCTCTTAGCTAAAAAGGGAAATCACAAAAGCAGTCAGTCAGTCTTACCAAGTGCCAGATGAGTCATCACAAATTTTTCTCTACCCATGACCAGTCCTGTCCCTTTCATCCCCAATCATTTCAAGTCAATCTGTTTCTCTGCCCTGCTATTACTTCCGCTCTAGATCTGACTACCACATATCCTTTCTCACCTACACAAAGCAGTACTCCTTTAACAGGTTCTTGCTTCTATTCTCTTAATCCTGACAAAAATCTAGTCTCCTGGGTAACGGTGCTATGTACTCTTTTCATTTTAAGTATGTCAACTAACTATAAGAGAGTATACATACACTGTTCTCCTTAGGTTGACTCATTTGCTACAGTTTTGACATAGCTTTACATTTTAATGCTTATACACACAAATACTATACTACATATGTTTTACAATAATTTTTACTTAATATTCAAACCCACTGCTAGTCATGTGGCTTGAATCATTCTTGTACACATTCTCCCCAATAAAGAATGATCCAGAAGAACATTGTTTACTTAGCTCCTTAACTTTATGATTCATATTTTATAGCTGCTCAACATTTTGTACTCATGAAGCATTTCATCCTGCTTTTCATCTTTCTCTGCACCATCATTCAAACCTAACTGGCTTGACTTCTATTTATCTTGAATTTGATTCAAATATTCATCTAATTCTGAATCTAATCATAAAGAAATTATCAGAAAAATACAGAATGTAGAACTTTCTACAACTGAACTCTACAAAGAAGTAGTAAAGGTCATGAAAAACCAAATAAAAATGGATGGTAACCCTTAGATTTAAAAGGACAAAAGTGATACAACAGCCAAATATGACACATGAGCAAGACTAGGGAAACAGGACTAGGGGAAAACTAGTATTTTCTATGGAGTTAAATAAAGGAAAAACACAGGACTAGAGGAAAAGTGAGTCTTTTTTTTTTTTTAAACAACTGATAAAATCTGAATATGGACTGTATTTTAAATATTAATGACTTCATGTTAACTTTCTGAGGCATGATTGTAAAATAATTTTAGAGAATGATCTAATGAAGGGACACAGGTTACAATACTTTAATCATGAATCATTTTATTAATGGCTTATTTGCAAACTGTTCTCATATATATGTGATACACATATCATTATATATGAGCAAACAGGACAGTGTTAACACTTGATAAATCTAGAAAATACTACATATAGTATTTTCTATGGAGTTAAATAAAGGAAAAATAGTTAAAAATTAGACTCTCCTATGGAGTTAACTTCATCTAGAAATTCTGTGTCTCTTTATCACACTGGCACTCTGTATAACCGTAATTACCACACACTACATCTAGGGCCACTGTTAGTGTCTGAGAAACTTATGTGTGCCAACTTTTATTTATCCTTGTTACCCTAAAACACAAATAATACATTAGCATACACACAAGTATAGCTCTCAATCACATTAAGATCTTGTTCTGCAAACACACAAAGTTTAAAAAAGGATGGGGACCAAAAGATAGGTGTAGTGGAGGAGGGGAAAAGGAGTGACACAAGGAGTTAAAATATAGCCAGTTGTGGTGGCACATGTCTGCAATATCAGCACTCAAGAGGCTGAGACAGGAGCACTGCTGCAAGTCAGATCCAGCCTGGGCTACTTGGTCAGTTTTAAGGCCAGCTAAACTACATAGTGAGGCCCTGTCTCAAAAAACAAACGAAAAGATGTATCAGGTATACATACCAGCTGCCCACAAGTAATATAAACATTATGAACTACAGAAAAGTAGTAGTAAAAAAATATGATCTTATTTTTAACTCCCCTCTTCTCTATATGAAAACCAGTAATTATGAATTACATACTCTCTTTAGTATTTTCCAGCTACTATTTCTTTTTCTTTTTTCTTTTTGGTTGTGTGTGTGTGTGTGTGGGGGGGGGTGTCCTGGGGATCAAAGTCACAACCTGACACTTGCCAGGCAATTGCTTACGCCACTGAACTAAATCCTGGGGCCCAGGATTTATTTCATCTTAATAGTCACCTATTATAAAACATCACTAAGAGCACTTCAACCTAAGAAGAGAAATAACAAAGGTATGATTTATACTTTCCTTATTACACGTACATTTAAAACTACTCAATAATAGCTTAAAATATGGGAATTATAATGTCCCAGTTACTTTATATATTTCATTCCTTAAAAATGGGATACATGTTATCATTATGACTTAAGAATACAAGGTCAATTTTACCTGTCCCCAAAAACAAACACCAGAAACTTGAGAAGTATCTGAACTTCCTCTTCCAATTATTACAATCATATCTTTTCCATTTCAATTCCCAAGTAACTCCAGCGTTACCCCTCTCTATTCTTACCATTACATCAATCTTGGAGATCACTCCCTCCATAGACTGCAGTCTTTTTTCTATTTCCTTACTAAGTACATACGGAACAGACATTAGGTAAAGGTGGTTTGGGGTGTAGCCTAAAACCAAATTTTAAAAAGGACCTGCATTTTAGATAGTAAGTTTATCCCTGAAACACTAACTCGCCAGAAATCAAAGAGATAGTTTTGATGTTTTAAACTGAATAAAGTACTTCAAATAATGTCCACTTTATCATTTATAAAAATCTAGCTTCTTGAATTGTTATACCCATAATGTGACAACTTAAGCTTTCATAACAAATTAACACTGACATTATTTATCTTTTCCTCCGCATTCCTTTCAGTCTTATTCTAATCTATAGCTCTGTAACCATCTAATAATCTTACAGGACAGATAGGGTTATTTTTAGTTTTAAAACACAAAAGACTTTCTGCCTAAATAATATAAGCCAGGTGCAGTGACGCACAACTGTCAGCTCAGGTACTGTGGCGGTTGAGCTAGAAGAAATGTAAGTTCAAGACCAACTTGGGCAACTGAGGGAAACCTTGTCCCAAAATAAAATGCAAAAGGCTGAGGATAATAGTTAAGTCACAGTGTCTGCTTAGTATATGAAAGATCCTGGGTTCAATCTCTAATACCAAAATATAAAATAAATAAGATACACTGATTTTTGAAGCCTTAAAGATCATAACTTTTTTGTTTGAAAACCAACACCAATATCACTGCCATTACCAGTCATAAAACAGATAATCATATCTTTTCCATTTCAATTCCCAAGTAACTACAGCGTTACCCCCTCCCTATTCTTACTACCATTACATCAATCTTGGAGATCACTCCTTCCATAGACTGCAGTCTTTTTTCTATTTCCTTACTAAGTACATAAAGAATGGACATTAGGTAAAACTGTCTAATGAGAAAATATTTCATTAATTTTTTTCTACCATTATTCTCCAATTTCTAACCTCAGACTTTACATACGCTATTTGGTCAAGCCTGGAAACTGGAATTGTCAAGTTAATTAACTGTTTTACAGATGTTTACATGTTTAAAGATTCTAAGACATCAAACCTCCAATCAGCCTACTTCCAACTAAACACCTTCCTAAATTTAACTGGGCAATTTCTGTCCACACTGGTCCCTAAACAAAAAGGAGGTGTCAAAAGATGCAAGTTACAAATATGAAATGAGTATCTGACACTTTTCTGCTAATCATGTAAATCTGAAACACACTGTAGAGCCCTGTGTTTTACACCAATTTCCACTTTTTTTCAGGAATAGTAAAATTATAGAGGTCCCAAAACTTCTAATCTTACTATGATTTGATTTAAAATGCTGATGTTCATATTAGTTTTTGATGTAACTAATCTCCATGCTAGCTTTACTTATTCTAACTTCATGAGAGGAAAAGAAAATTATATAGTACTACTTGCTCTTCTGCAGTCAAATGCTTCAGAGAATTATCAACAAGAAATATAACTAAGCTAATAATTTACATTATGGAATATCAGATCTTAATTTGAAAAAGTTAAAATTCTTAAAACAATATAGAAAGTTTCAACAGTGTCTTCTTTTTAAGAGTTGCATAATTTTTATTTTATCAAGTTTAATACTTATGACCATTTGACAGAAAAATAAAGCATTTCTTCCTCCTTTCCCCCAAATCTCTTTTCAACAGCAGGAAAAGGAATTTTAGTAAGAATAAAATTCTGAGGAAAAAATTGATCCATTAAAAAAAAACTGGCTCATAAAGAAGGAAAAACAATTCTGTGAGCAAGGTTTTAGGAAGGGCACATGCAAAAGAGTCATAACAACAGTTCTATCCCTTTTTGGTATTATACATATGGCATT